TCAAAAAACAAAAAAAAACTTTCGAAAACATTTCAGACGTCAAACTAAAAAAAAAAAAAAAATAAAACCATACCATGTATATGTATACGCACGTGCATGCATACGTATGTGTGCGTGTGCACGTGTATATCGTAAATAACAAAAGAATATTTATTACGTATATATGATTTTTCCCCTGTTGAAAACGTAATTAATTTATTTTGTTATTATTAATTTAAAAAAGGAATTCACATATTATTATTATTATTATTTTCATCATCGCCATCATAATCATAATCATAATAATAATAATAATCATAATATTATAATTTTAATTATTATTATTATTACTATTTAAATTTTTTTTGTTTTTTTTTTTTTTTTTTGTTTGTTTTTACGATTTAATAAAAATAAATAAAATAATAATAATAATATAATCGTTTATGTTTTTAACAAAAAGGAAAGCAGGGGGTGAAATTTATTTAATTTTGTTTTTTTTCATCTTTGAGTGAACATATTATTATTATTATTATTATAATTATTATTATTATTATGTAATAACTTTGTAAAATGTTTAGCAAACCGGTAAAAAAAAAAAAAAAAAGAAACTCAATTATACTTATTTTTATTTTATTTTATTAAAAAAAAATTTATTTTACTTTATTTTTATTATTATTATTATTAAAATTTTTTTTGTTTGTTTGTTTGTTTGTTAAACAAAAGGTAGGATGATAATAATAATAATAATGTAAGAGAAATGAAAAATGATAGCTTTAGCTTCTTGTTGTTTATAGCCAAAAAAAAAAAAGAAAAAGAAAATGGAAAATGGAAAAAAAAAAATGAAATAATAAATAAATCAATAATTTTTTTTTATTTAAATAATAATTTATTAATTAGAATTTAAAAAATTTTTAATTATTATTATTATTATATTTTCAAATCAAATCAATAGAATTCCTTTAATTTTTTAATTATTAATGTTTGGGGTCTGGTTGTTTTCAATTAAGATTTTCCTTGGCACACTTATTTATGTATATTTGATAGTTATGGAAGGGGGTTGAAATGATTAAGGGTTGAAAAAATGCGACGTGACACAAACACACAGAATGATTTGTTTTTTTTTTTTTTTTTCATTATTATTATTATTAAATAGTTAATTAATTAATTAATTTAAGTGAAGGTGTTGTTAATAATTGTTTTTTTTTTCCCCCCATTTTTTTTTGTTTCCATTTTTAAACCATCCCACGTCGGTGGGATAAAAAAGGAAAGAAAAAACGTTATTATTATTATCGATTTAGTCATAATTTAATTAATTATATTATAAAAAAATTTGTAATAATATATGCGAACGTGTATGTACATATATATATTTATATTTAAATACACGCACGTATTTTTTTTTTTTTTATAATATCAATCAAATTAGGGGTGGGAACGAGGGGAGGGGAGGGGAGGGAAGGGCGGGGTCTTAAAACATTAGTAACAAGAGGAAAAGTGGATATTAAAAAAAAAAAAAACGAACAATAACATCTTAATTTGTTCAGAAAATAAGAATTATGTAAAAAAAAAAAATTATATATATATATATATATATATATATATATATATATATATATATATATATTGAAAATGTATTGCCGGTGCCGATAAGTCATCTAAATAATAATAATAATAATATATAATAAAAAAAATCAAAAAACTAATGATAATGATAATAAAATTCGCGTGTAACAGTTAAAAAATATGTGTAATATAATAATAATAATAATAATAATAATTTTTTTTAATCAATTTTTATTTATTTATTTTGTTTTGTCTTATTTATATATATTTATATACGTATATCAAAGGTAACGAAATCACAGTTTTCAGTTAGAAAAGAGAGAGAGAGAGAGAGAGAGGTTTTAAAAAGAGAGAGAGAGAGAAACAGAGAAGGGAATCAATGTAATCAATTTATTTAATTAATTAATTTAAATCTGAGCAGGTGTGTGTGTGTGTGTGTGTGCGTGTGCTTGTGGTTTGTAATATATGGTTGTAAGTAATTTAATGTGACGTAACACAACAACATAACATTAAACAACATAACAGGTTTTAATTTAAATTTAAGGAAGAAATAATAATAATAATA